ACTGTCTGCCAACTCTCCACGTGGCCAAGTACCGAAACCATCAGTATAGAAAGTTCAATTTGTAGAATAAGCAAACTCTGACTGTAATAACCCATCTGGTAAGCCAATGCAATCGTGGACCCGTTTACTATGAGGTGCGCCACTATTATCGCCAGCCACATCGGAAAGTACACGTCGAGCATCTTCGCGAACAGTTCCATCGTTCGGAAGGCTGAAGCGTGGAAACGACACTTCTCTCTCAGTCTGTCACTCAAGTTTTCTAGACTCGCTTCCATTTTCTTCTGGAAAGAGCTGTGAGCGCTTCGGTACAGAGCAGCGATGAAGCGGATGTGATTGTCAAATTGAACGAAAAGTACGCCATGAATTAGATTCGCGAGTGTATTGGAAAGTTTGTAAGGTATACGAATTTGTTCGTCAAGCTCGTAATGGGGTAGGTACAGAGAGTAAGCCAACGTGACATATATGGTCACTTGGTAAATGTAACCAATAACAGACCTCTTCCGGTATTCGGCGATCCCTTGGGACATGTCTACGTCATAATGAGAGCAAATCATCGCCCACCCATTCAACTCATCGGCCATTCGTTTGCAGTTACGGGAGGTATAAACGTGGAGCACCACTGCAGTCACTGTGTGCAATATTTCTGAGGTGAATTGCAGCCGGATGATCGCATTTTGATGATTTGCAGCAATATAAATAAGAAAACAAGCGAGAATTACATTCAGTATGGCCAGGACGATTGCCAGTACCACCCTATGCGGACTTACTTCAAAGTGGAGCAGAGGTGGTTTTCTGTGGCTGCACTTTAGACCAAACCCTCCAAAGTAACTCGTTACCGTAAACATTCCGCCTAAGGTGCAAACGACACACGCATTATCGCGTTTGAACCAGCGTAAAGGGAGCATACCCCTCCAAGACATTGTGCGAACTGTCCCAGTACATAATTAGGTACGAGAATTAATAGAGGCGATTATTATATACCATTTTGGAAACAAATTCCATTAGCGGCGCACGCGATGCCCTTCAGACAAATGACATACATTTCTGAAAACGTCCCTCGTGTATTTAAATTACGGGTGATCGACATATTCAGGGGTGTCTTTAGTAATTTGCATTCTATTTGTTATACTCTAATCCAATTTTGGCCATAACGATGTTTGCCTAACAAAACCGTTTAACTTATGGTTATGGGGACATACCGGCTGATACACAATTAGATATTCTTGTACGAAATTTCGCACCTTTCTATACCATGCAGCTACCAATCGTAAACTGGAAGAAGAGTATTTGCATCATAATCTATGCTACCATTATCAGGTATCCTCTAGTACAAGCCATTTAGCTTGCGTTGAACCTGAATTGTCTTGTGTGGAAGGTACTGCTGCGGGGAAAGGGGTACAGTCGTTAGGTACCCGATCGATGGAGATGAATTGTTAGAATTGCCATAAAAATGGACATCCTGCTCGAAATTGTAATAAACCTCAACGGAAGCATTGTTTTACCTGTGGTACTCCGGATGTGACCCGTAAATAATGTCCGAAATGTTCTAAGAAATCGGAAAACTTGTAATAGAGATGACGATGGCAGAATGTGTGGAAATCGGGCGGGTGCCCTTTAAATTAAGGGATGTGGTGAAAGTTATTGATATCTTAGTTGTGCTGAACTTCCAAACTTAAGATTTTATGGTTCCAGGATTTAGTTGGAATCGAATGATGACTGTGCGTTCACTGAATTACAATCACGTCAACACTTCACAGGGGAGCCGGAGTTAACGTTGGCACAGGTCGTCAAGAATGATCTTCAATCTATACCTAATCAGTTGGGGTGTATTGATCTGGCGAAGCATAATTACTGGATAACGTGGAACCATTCAAACAGTCGAGAGTTCGACAGGTCCCCGGAGTAGTCCGGTACAGAAGTTCTAGAAAATTCTGCGTTGATTTTCATCAGTTAAACAGTCACTCGTAAAGATGCTTATCTGCTTCCTTACGTTACCAATATTGTCGATAGGTTGCACCCACCATTTGACTAGTCTCGAAGTGAAATCTACATATTGGCAAATGCCGTTTAAGATTCTCGTTCATGAACTGCATTCATCGTATCCGCTAGAGGCCTAAGCCAATATAAACTCCTTTCTTTCGGAATGTATACTGCTCCGGCTGATTAACAGGGGGATGGATTTGAAATGGCCGTTCATTTGATCTGGTGCGTAGCAAGGGGAAGAAAAATGTGCATGTGTGTGTATCTTTAGATCACGTTGGACACCTTTACGCCTGAACCCGCCGCGAATTTACAAACCGAAATCGATCCAAGCATGAAGATCGCAAGACGCCAGCTTTTACTTTTTCCCGCCAAACAATACGAGAACGGTTACCTATCGAAACCGTTAATTATTCGAGGGAAACCCAAGTCTGCCCGCTACACAGATGAATGCCACCAGCAACATATCTGAAGGGGTGCATTGTTGTTCTAGAATTTTGCATAATACTGTATAATACTGTATATGAAAATATTTCAATTTTTTTAGTAAATCTGGAGGATTACTTTCAAAATAAGCACAGAGTGGTACGTTTTATTTGAATTTGTATCTTAATTTTGTAATTATCTATCAGGCGAAAATTAATTGACGCACGTGTTTTATCGATGTTAAGAAATAAGGTATTGTGAAGAATCGCGCGTTTCATCTTGAGAAGTGGGGACGTTTAACGCGTTGAAAAGCGTTTACGCTAAATTACAGGTAGTCGGTCCAATTTGTTTTGTAGAAGACGTAGTTCGTAATTTTTTATACTACATGTGTGGAGAAACAAGTTGACGAAAGTCTGTTTAAATGTTAAAAGTTTCTACTGTCCGAACAGCCACCGCAAATTTGTTCATATCATTTATCAAGCCAGTTTCGTTTGTCATTTAAGTTTGTGTTATAGTTACAGCAAAATAGGGTTCACAAGCTGTCAGCGATTGTGTGAGTTTAGTGCGTCTTATATGGTAAATCTTGTACGACCAGATTATTTGGATTATTAAGAACAAAAAATTTCTAAGTGATTTTAAGATTTCTTACTTTATTTGTCGGCCGCCTGTGTGCGGGGTTCAGATAAGCTTTGTGCGTTGTTTTTTTTCTAGGAGGGATTTGGTTTTAGATTGCAACCTAGGTGTCAGATTTTCTTTTTCGTGTCCAAGGTTATGAAGAAATAAAAAAAACACTTACCACATTGTTAATACTCTCCAACTGGTGTAGTATGTACATTGTACAGGGTGGCCAAATAAGAATGCGAGGTACTATGTCTGGGAACCTGTCCATCGTAGAGGCTTGCGGTAAAAAACTTTGTTACTAAATCGGCCACGAGCAAAACCTGGAAAATATTTTTAAGTTTCTGAAATGACCGCTAGGGGGCGTAACTGCAGTCTGGAATCTAAGAAAGTGATTTTTCTGTGAATTCCGCTAAATTAGCCTAACAAAAAAATGTCCGGTTCTTGAAATCGATGATAATCTGAACAATTTTTGTTTGACAATTTTTCCTATATCTCTAAAAATGAAGTGGTGGGAGGTATTCAAAGGTTTCCGTAAAGAATAATTGAAAAGAGTTATTCTTCTGTTACAAATATTACAATATTTGTAGTTTTGTTAGTTTCACATGTCGCCGCTTGAGGGCTTTTTTCGACATTCCGACAGAAATGGTTAATTTTCTCAAAAAAATTAAATGCGTTGGTTTGATTTTTTTTCATGAAAAAGTAGCTAAATGATGCCTAAACAAGCTCGCGAAAACCGCATCTCGATATCTTGTTCCTAACCTAAAATTTAGGCCAAAGAAAATTTTATACCCTCAAAATTTTATTTTCTTAAGCTAATTTTTCCGGAATTATTTTTATTATATAATTCGTGGTGGATCGATTTAATTGTTTAGGCATCATTTAGCTACTTTTTCATGAAAAAAAATCGAACTGATGCATTTAATTTTTTTGAGAAAATCAACCATTTCTGTCGGAATGTCGAAAAAAGCCGTCAAGCGGTGATATGTGAAACTAACAAATCTTCAAATAGTATAATATTTGTAGCTGAATAATAGCTCTTTTGAACTAACCCGAGTTTGTTTAAATCGGCTCAGCCGTTTCGAAGATAGAGGGTGTTCTTTATGGAAACCTTTGAATACCCTCCACCACTTCATTTTTAGAGATACAAGAAAAATTTTCAAACAAAAATTGTTCAGATTATCGTCGACTTCAAAGACCGGACATTTTTGTTAGGTTAATATAACGGAATTCACAGAAACATCACTTTTTTAGATTCCAGATTGCAGTTACGCTCCCTAGCGGTCATTTCAGAAACCTAAAAATACTTTCCAGGTTTTGCTTGTGGCCGTTTTAGTATAAATTTTTTTACCGCAAGCCTCTACGATGGATAGATTCTCAGATACAGTACGTCGCATTCTTAGTTGGCCACCCTGTACAATAGGGTCCGAGAAAGGATTAGACAAGGTAATATATAGTGGACTAAAGACGGCAATAGAGAAAATATGAAAGAAGAGGTTACAGCAAAAACTATAGAAGAAATTAGAGAAGGGACTAGGAAAAACACTAGAGAAGAAGAGGAAACTGAAAAACGGACTAGAGGAAAAACAGAGAGAAGACTAAAAAGGAAACCAGTAAAAAGGGAAGGAAGGATACGCCACTAAAATAGGCACTCATGAAAAGACTACCAATTGCAGCAGACTGCCAAAATGGCTAGAGAAGAGATTCGAGAAAAGACTAGTGTTTTTTAATATTGTGGCAGAGGTATCAGACCAATGTATAACTGCCCTGAATTTCTATTTTAAAACTAACGTGTTTTCAGCCCTATAACTTCTGTAATGATCCCTAACCAAAACCTTAATAATCGGTAGTCTTTTATGGTATTTAAAGAAACTTTCTTTTTCTAGCGTTTTTATTATATCACAAAAATTGACAACTTATTACTTGACACTCTCTCACATACTTGATAACTCAAAATATATTTTCTTAAAACTACGTTACTCGTCGTCCTCGCAGACATTCCGGCCCCCAAAATCAGGACAGTCTTCCTGATTTTCTGCTTGAAATCCGAGAGGAACGACTTTATCAACTCCGCGCTTGAATGACTTACGGTTTCGTCCATCGCTGTAAGTAATTTCCACGATCCGGATAACACCATCCTTGCCTGGATAAAGTTTGGTCACAATTCCTTTCTTCCAAGTGTTTCGTGGAGCGTGTTCGTCAAGGAGCAACACGACTTCTCCAATTTTAATGGGCTCCGCATCTGCCAACCACTTTTCCCTCCTGAGTAGTTTCGGCAACGCTTCAGCTTTCCACTTTCGCCAGAATGTCTCCAACATAAACTGTGCCTTCTTCCAGGACTCTCTGTACCATTCGTCAATCTCCTTGCTACACGTCGGTATCGACATTCCAACGTCTGCAAATCCACGTAGAAAGTGATTAGCGGTTAAGCAATCCGGGTCGGCCGGGTCATTGGACATCGGAGTTAATGGGCGAGAATTGATTATGTTCTCCGCTCCCTTCAAAACCGTCAGCAATATCTGATCCTTGGGATGCTTGTCGTTCAGCGTAGCCTTCAAAATTCGCTTGGTCTGCTGCACCATGATCTCCCATGCACCTCCGAAGTGTGGTGAATACGGCGGAGAAAAGCTCCACTTCATTTCTCGAAACTTCGGGTTGTCTACGATTGTTTTCCAGTCCAAACTGCTCCAGCTCTCCCGTAGCACCTTAGCAGCACCGGTGAAGTTAGTGCCACAGTCACTAAATATATATTTCGGTCTTCCACGCTGGTCAATGAACCGCGACAACGCCATGATTGTTTCGTCGGTTGACAAAGCATACACCACTTCTAGATGTATAGCCCTCGTGACCATACAAGTCAGCACCATAACCCATCTCTTTTCTCTGTGACGTCCGACGACAACTTCCAACGGTCCGAAGAGATCCGTTCCCGTGTAAGTAAACGGAGGATTGCCGGCAGCTAGTCGATAGTACGGCAAATCGCCCATCTTCGGCTGCAGCGGTTTTACCTTGGCGAATTTGCATTTCATGCATTTGGTTATCACGCGACGAACTGCACTTGTTCCATGGATAATCCAGAATTTCCGTCTCAAGTTGTTCAGAACAGTCGTGAGGCCTTGATGCGCATTCTGCTCGTGCTCGTCTTGGATGAGTAGCTCTGTGAAGCGATGACTCGGTGAAAGTATTATGGGCTTCTTCACAGTACTTTCGACATCGGCATGTCCAATTCTACCGTTAAGTTTCACAAGTCCATTCTCAATTACCGGAGACAACGGCCATAGTTTACTTGATCGTTTTAATGTTCCTTTCTCTAGCTCAGTTATCTCGTCCGGAAAACTTTCATGTTGGGAAACGCCAGCTAACAAATTTTCTGCTTGATCCCAAATGTCTCTTCTCACGTTTGTGCTGAGATTCCTTTGGAGAAATACTTTTATTCGGTGAATGTACTCACAAACTGTTTCTGTCTTCTTAACAACTGGTACCTTAGCATTTTCTTTCAGCTGCCACGGAGATTTTTTTATTGTTTGTTTCTTAGCCTTCAATTTCCAGTGTTTGGCGGCATTTAGGATTCCACATTGCGCGCGAATCAATCGGTTGTAAGAGGAAAACCGAGTAACATCCACACATGATGTTGACTCCCAGGACGAAGCAGCAGCATACGTGTAACTTTTCTTTATTTCTATACTTTCTTCGTCGACCTCTAAGCTTCCAGTTCTTTCCTTTGGCCAGTACTCCTCTGGTCGTTGTAAAAATAGCGGTCCTGTCAGCCAGTCAGAGTCGGAAGAAAGTTCAATTTCTTTCTTCATTCTGGTTCCCTCGTCGGCAACGTTAAGTGCGGTGGGAATCCAATTCCAATCTTTCACGTTGGTGAGCATGTGAATCCGGTTGACGCGATTTGCTACGAATTCCTTGTAGCGTAGGCTCTCGTTCCGGATCCACAACAACACAGTCTTTGAGTCGCTCCAGAACGTTTTCTTGTTTATCTTAACTCGCAATTCTTCTCCAATTACGTCTGCCAGTGTAGCTCCCATGACGGCTGCAGTCAACTCTAACCTCGGGATAGTGAGCTTTTTCAGCGGTGCCACTTTCGTTTTAGCAATAACGAAAGCCACGCTGATCCTTTCACCTATCACAACGCGTAAGAAACAGATCGCTGAGCATGCGTCTTCACTAGCGTCAACTAAAGTATGGAGCTGTACATCTGTAGCTTGATGAATGTTGTAAACGTACAAACGTGGGACTGTTACTTTTACCACCGCTTGTAAATTGTCTACCCAGGATTTCCAGTCATCGTAAATTCCGTCCGGCAGATGCTCGTCCCAATCGATGCCAGATTTCCACGTCCGTTGCAGCAGTATTAGTCCACGTATTTTGAAGTTTGCTACAAAACCGAGTGGGTCAAAAACCGACATAAGCAAACTACACATCTGCCGCTTTGTGGGTCGTTCACCGGCTAGAATTTCTGGTGCTACTTTCTTAAAATTACCGGAGAAAGTAAACACATCCTTCTCTGCGTCCCACCAAAGCCCTAGGATCCTCTGAATTGGCATTGTAGATTTCTCCGTGAACATTTTCACACTGGCAGCCCGATCGCATTCTGGAATTGACTCCATGATTTGCTCATTGTTTGAGAGCCATTTGCACAAACGGAAGTTGCCAGCAGCGTTGATTTCGGACAGTTGTAGTCGCAACTCTGTGCAGTCCTTAATTGTTTGTTGTCCCCCAAGAAGATCATCGCAGTACATATCTTCGTGTATTGTTCTTACTGCTTCCGGATACTGCTGTACGAAGTCAACTGCGTTTCTATTTTTGACGTAAATTGCGGAACAAGGGGATGAACAGGCTCCAAAAATAAGTACATTCATCTTGTACGTAGTTACAGCTGCATTGTTCTGCATCGTGTCACGCCAAAGAAATCGCTGCGCATCTCGGTCCTCTTTTCGCATACTCACTCGATGGAACATGTCCTCGATATCTCCATTGATTACGTAATTATGCCGACGAAAATTCATAAGTACTGATGGCAACGGTCGTATCAGGTTTGGCCCGTCAAGAAGAAAATCGTTCAGACTATTACCGTGATTCTTGGCGGCTGCGTCAAAAACGAGTCTTAATTTACCGGGCTTGTTGACATTGAAAACTCCAAAATGCGGAATGAAATAAGTCTTTTCCGTAACTTTGTCTGCTTCGTCTGTTGTCAGTTCAGTTATGTACTTTTTGTCGACGTATTCCTGCAGCTTAGCGTGATACATCTTGCAAAACTCCGGGTCACGTTTCATGCGGCGTTCATTAGCAAGCAGGCGTGAAAAAGCTTCGTGTCGGGATTCAGGCAAAATGACACTGTCACTTTTCCAGAGCAGTCCGCACTCCCACTTTCCGTCAACTTTCTTCACGGTATCCTCTAGCATTTTCACCGCGCGACGATCTTCCACAGAGCCGGCCACTGTATCATTATATACCCCGAATGAGTCTAGGGAAAAACTCAGTTTGATTAAATCATCCAATTTCTCATTTTCACTAAGCTGCATCAGGTTTACAGACGACCTTACATTTCTATTCATGTCAGTTTTTCCTGCGAGTACCCATCCCAATAATGTTCGTTTCGCCAACGGCTTGTCCATACTTTCTTCAAGTATCTCCCGATGCGCTGTAACACTTGGATTATCTTCTCCAATTAGGATCTGTGGGCTCACACCTTTAAAACTTTCCAGCTTGGCTCGTTGTAGGAAAGGGAACTCCTCTTTGACTTTCGCTGCATCTTGTGTGTGCAAGCTCAAGCCAATTTTCGTTACACAAAGAACATCTGTGAGTTTGTATTTGCGGGCTGCTTTAAAGTTTCCACAGATTTCAAAAGAGACTTTTTCAGTTTTCTCCTTCGTTATTTTTCCAAAAATTCCTCTGCATTCATGACTGACGACTTTACCAGTGATTCCCAGGGAATTGGCAAGGCTGCTCTCAATCATTGTAGTGTCGGATCCGCTGTCAAGTAAGGCATATACTCGTTTAGTTCCTTTCGGACCGGTAACTTTCACACGTACTATTGACAATGGCTTTGACACATCTGATTTCACTGCACTGGAGTTACTTGCTTCTGCCTCATCTACAACCTCCGCTGGTTTACACCTTTCCTTTCTCCTACTTTGCGTATCTGCTCCATGAAGAAGTTGGTGGTGCTGACCTTTGCACTTTCCATCGTAGTCACAAACGTGTCTTGAAGAACAGTTTTTCTTATTGTGATCACCGTCCAGACAACGAAAGCAGAGGTTCTTTTGTCGCACAAACCTTACACGATCGTTTAAATGCTCATTTTTAAACTTGAAGCATTTAACAATTGTATGATTCGACTTTCCACAATACACACAGTCTTTGGAGTTGTCCAACTCGTTAATTTTAACTTCGACGGGTGTAGCAGATGATTTCTTTTCGGCGACAGTCGGCCCCCTTTTGACCTTTTCTTTCTGGTGTAAGCTCTGCAATACTGGATCGCATATTCCAACCAGTAGCCCTTTCTGCATTTCCAACCAGTTTCCAAATGTCTGCAGGTTCTTGGGTTGATTACTGTACATCAGGTATTTCGCCCACTCCTTTGCATAGGAAAATGGTAGTTTTCCAATCAGCTTTTCAAGTAAAATGCGATCTTGCAGGTAACCTTCTTCCCTTAGGCTCTTGACGGTTTCCACGAAATGTAGCACTGTGGTAGCGAATTTAATCATCGTTTCGGGCCTGCTATCGGGAGACTTACAGTCTTCAGCCGCTCGAATTAATGATTTGATTACCAATTCTGATCTTCCAAATTCCCGTTCAAGTTGTACAAGAATCTTGGTCACATTGTTGGGGTCGTTGAGTAAGGCTGCAACAGATTCGCGAGCTGATCCACGGAGAGCCTTACGTAATCGTATGGCATTTTGTGAAGTATTAACCTTGCCGTTTGGAGTTGTCCGTTCAAACTCACCAATGAAAATTGGCCAGCCAACTGCGGCTCCATCGAAGTAAGGTAACTCCTTGGGCTTCCATTCACGTTCTCCTTTCACTTCCATCAACACGTCTTTCAGTGCTGCTGTTAGGTCGTTAATAGAATTACCGTTAGAACTGAATTCGTTGGTAAATCTCGCCCTTTGTTGCCGTACTCCACCATTGGCTTTATTTAAAATTTCTCCGAGTGGATTTGAGGTAGGTGTACTCTGGTACTCTGGTATTTGAGGACGCACATTGAACGTTTGACTTTTACCACAGGTTTGTTTAACATTTTGCACCCATTCAGTAACGTAATTGTCTTCCTCCTTTTGCAAGTCCTCAACAATATTTTCACCGGCCCCATGAACAGATACCGCATTCTGGGATTCTTGCTCTTCGTCCACATCGATTTGAATATCTTCTCTCTGGAGTTCATACATCTTTCTAGCGAGTTCGCATTCACGTTCGTATTCTTTACGTACACGTGAAAGTTCCAACTTCTTACGAGCAATCTCGTATTCGATTATTTTGACGTCGTCAACATCGGCTCGTGATAGACTTAGTTTGAGGTCAGCAATGGAATCTTCCAGGCTTTGCAGCAAACCAGTGTATTTGGATTCCAAATTCAGCAGCTTGGATTTATATCCGTTTTCTAACTTACGGAATCTGCCATTCGCTGACATCTCAGACATGTGACTTGGACAATAATTTGCCGTTCGTGTCAGCTGATCTGCTGCTTTCACCGATCCTGACGCTACTTCCGGTTGTACAACAACGGGGTTTTCGCGATACACGAATGGTGAACTTGGCACTGCTGTTGATTGTACGACTAACGCATCATACGTTAGCTTGTTAGGCGCAATAACTTTCCTTTTGTCGGCCATCTTGACTGGTGACTTTCCAAAAGGTCTGGTTCTCGATGAATCTTGAGGTCTTATGGCTAAAATCGTTAATTCCCGGGTTTCGGCACCAAATGTTTTTTAATATTGTGGCAGAGGTATCAGACCAATGTGTAACTGCCCTGAATTTCTATTTTAAAACTAACGTGTTTTCAGCCCTATAACTTCTGTAATGATCCCTAACCAAAACCTTAATAATCGGTAGTCTTTTATGGTATTTAAAGAAACTTTCTTTTTCTAGCGTTTTTATTATATCACAAAAATTGACAACTTATTACTTGACACTCTCTCACATACTTGATAACTCAAAATATATTTTCTTAAAACTACGTTACTCGTCGTCCTCGCAGACAACTAGTGAAGACTCTTATGGTGAGAAACGATTGGAAAGGCGACTTAGCAATAGACAAAAAATGAAGAAGGGGCTGGTTAATAGACTAGACGGTTCATATATTAGAGACTAGAGTGGAAAAGAAGATACTAGAGAGAAGACACTGGAGTGCAATTTGGAAAATAGATCAGGTGGCTAAAGCGGAGTATAAAGAAGAAACTAGAGAGTAGATTAGAAAAAAAATTTGAAAAAAGTGAAGAAGATATGTAGAAAAAATAAGACCGTAGAACTGGAGAGGAAACGGTAGAAGCACTGAATAAAAGTGAAGAAAGAAAACTGAAGTTAAGACTAGAAGGTTAAAAAAGAGGAGAGACTGAAAAAGATACTATAGAAGAAAGTATAAAGAAGACAACACTGTAGAAGATACTAGAGTGCAGATTAAAGAAATGTCTAAAAAAGATGAGGAGATTAGAAAGTCGACCACGAGGTGGAAGAAAGACCTAGAGGGGTGGATAAACAAGAGCAGAAAGTGAATAGGAGACTAGAGAGGAAACTAGAGATAGAGAGGGAAGACTAGAAATAAGAAAAAGATTTCGGTGCAGTGAAGAGAAATGAATAAATTAGAAACACAATTAGCGAAGGGACTAACACCTAGGCGGGGGGCGAAGGTAGAAACCCGAGGAGACTAAAGATGTAACTAGAGAAGAAACTAGAGTAGAGAAAACTACTTAGAAGACTGGAGGGGAGATTGAAAGGGAAACTAGTACACAGACCAAAGAAGAGAGTATGAAATAAACTAGAGAGAAACCCAGAGAGGGAGGGTAAAAGGGATTATAAGAGCAGTAGAGAACAGATTGAGGAATGGAGAAATTGAACTATAAAAAGTACAAACTACAAAACAGATTGGAGAGGAATTAGAGAAGAGACTGAAGAAGAGATTAGAGAATCTAGAGAAGTTAGGTGTAGACTATAGTCTACAGGAATATGGAGAGGGGTAATATGTAAGTTGCAAGCGAGGAAATGACGTGTTGGAGCTGATAGGATGATGAATAGACGAAATGAATTAGGAGAAAATAAATAGTACCAAACTGAATACAAATTTGCCAAGAGGGATTATACAAAGGGAAGGGAAACAGGAGATATACAGTGTGTAAAGCGATGGGGTATACAAGAGGGAATTTTTTTAAAATATTGATTTATGAAAACAATTTATTCTTCATGATATTTTTGCTTGCTTTGAAAGTACCAATAACGTTTCGATAATCTAAAATTTATTTATAGAAATCTGGAAGAATAATAAAATTGATTTTGTTATTGAGTTATCATTCTACATTATAATCAAGATAGCGTATTGCTATCAATCCACAAACAATCGAAACGTTTTTGGTACTTTCAAAGCAAGCAAAATATGAAGAATAAATTTTTTTCAAAAATCAATATTTCAAAAAAATTCCCTCTTGTATACCCCATCGCTTTACACACTGTATAACGGAATGGGGGGGGGAAGAAAGTGCGAGTGTATATACAACATACAAGAAATTAAAAGCTTAAAAGAGACGATGGACTAGTATTAGCAAGGGAGAAGATTTTAATGCCAGAACAGGGAACAGAGGGATATGGATTTAAGTGGGAAGAGGAACACAAGATAGAAAATCAAGAGATAAAGAGGAAAACGAAGAGGGTTATTGGAGTTATCAAAAGGGAAGAGGATGGAAAATTTTAAACTAATATATGGAAAGTGATAGAGACGGGAAATTCACATAAATATAATGAAGATGGAGATCGGTAGTAAAAAAAGAATACTGGGAGAAATAGAAGAATTAAAGACTCGAATCACCAATCGATGGAAGTGAGCTTAAAAGGGAAAAAAAGAAAATCAAGATAGGGAAAAGTGTAAAGCCGAAGGTGAAGACTAGAGGAACAAGAATGTGAAAGTGTACAGAGGAGTAGAAAAATATGAATGAGAGTAATAACGCGGAAACAAATAATTGACAGGGAGGGGAGAAAGAATAGAATGAATGGTGGGACAGTGAGAAACGGATAATGACTAATGATGCAGAGAGAAATAAAAGGAGAAATGCAGGAGCAAGAGAAAACAAAAAAGGCGTATAAAAGCAAATCTAAGAAAAATGTAGAGAAACAGAGAGAGAATGCGAAGAATAAATTAGAGAAATAAGGACAGGGGAGTTTTGGGAGATGATGAAATAGAGAAAAAGTTTAGGAAAAAGTGGAAGAGGAATGCATATGGAGGACTGGAAACAACACTTTGTTATGGTACTACAAGGAAAGCATGAGAACGAGGAGGTGATAGAAGAGATAGGGGAGGAGGGTGAAGAAGATGAGAAGAAATTGAGCAGCAATTAAAGAAAGAAAAAAAAAAGAAAACGGCATGGAAGGATGAAATAGAAAGTGAGACTTTGATTTTGCCACAGGCCAGAGGACTAGCAAGAATGGGAAAAAGGATCTCCAAAAGTGGTGACAAAGACTGTATGATACATTATAGGAGTCATAATAATTACAATGCCGCAGGCGTACAGAATATGCGAGGGTATTGAATGACATATTAAAAAGAGAAATAGAAGAGAATAGCATTTTGGAGGAATTCAAAAAAGGGAGGGAACGATCGATTGTATATTATATGTACTGCACAGATTGGTGGAAAAGGAATAGGAAAAAAAGGCAGAGAGGTAATAACGTTCTTCGTGGATGTAAAGGTAACGTTTAACGAAATGGAAGAGGGGAAAACAAACAACAAGCTGAAGGACAGAATCAAGGACGAGCGTAAGGACAAAGGTCAAGGGGTCTGAAGTACCCCACGCTATTGAATATCTTCACAAGCGACATAATCAAAGAGAACAGAATTCATAGTGGAAAAATAAAGCGCTTTAAGATAAGAAACAAGTGTGCAGACAGATAAGAGTCGAACCTTTAAAGTGTCGGCTCTACAAACTGTCGCGACAGAGCATGTATTAAATGTATGTGTTAAAAAATTGTGCCATATGTAATATAAAAAAACAGTACCTATATTAATCAAAGTGGTTCATCTAATTTGTTTATACGAGGTGCTGAACAAAACGGTTACCTGCAAAAAGTTAAAGACAATTAATTCAAGCTGTTTCTTGTTAAAACCCTAAATTACAGATGACAGAATAAGGCAAGTAATACTGGAGTGGTTTCGAAATACGGAGGGAAGAAAAAATGTTAAGATAATGGCGAGGTTCAGATGTGGATATCAGGGTAGAGGAAAAGAGAAGTGAAACGAAGAAAAAGAACGAAAATGTAGAGTCTGCGGATAGGAATAGGAGCACATCGATTAGAGTCAATAAAATTTGATCGATTGATTGACTGACAATGGGGTCTATAGTGACTGGATGCAATCAGACGTCAGATAACTAGAGAAGAGATTAGAGCCAAATGAGAGACTACAGAATAGATTAGAGAAAGAGATTGAAGCTAGACGATAGGGTAGAAGGGAAGCTATGGAAGAGAAGGGACTAGTCAGAAGATTAAAAAAGACGTTAGATAAGAGGTTAGGGAGACCAGGCCGCCTAGAGAGGCTAGGGGGGGAATTGAGGAACTGGACAGGTTAGGCCAGTTAGAGTAGAAGTAGTACTTCATACTGATGAGGTCCGACCAGTGGCATATTCTTCTAATTAATTGTGTAATTCTGCTACTACGTCAGGGTGCATGCTAGCAAATTTCCAACCCCGAGTAAATCTGATAACCATACCCAGGGAACGTTTTACAGACTTAATGATCAGTACTTACAACATTATGCAGCTCGTCCATTTTATCCAGCGTATACACCGACCAGATGACCGTGCAATGCGTTTGGACTTCTATTGCCATCAGCAGAGGGTGCTGTGCCTCCCCAAGCACCAGCAGGTTGGCATTACAGATTGTAATTATGACCAGCGCCAGCAAGCACGTCAGCGAAACCGCGCTGTTAAAAGAATTAAAATGCTTCCATTGGCCGGCGATCACATTGTGAAATTGGCGAATTCTAGAAATGCCATCTGCATTACCCAGTCTTCCGCTTCTAAGGATCACTTTCAATGGGGCATGATAAGATCTGAATAGTGCGGTGTACACGATGAAGCGTATCGAGTACTCGCAAATGTTTGTGCATTGGATTAGGCCCGCGATCAGGTACAGGCATAAGTTGAATATCGCCCAGCTGCTTCCGATTTGGGTTGCAGCGATGCCGACCGCGACCAGTTCCAACACCATCGTCATGAGGAAGAAGACACCAGTCCTTAATATCATAGTCTTCATCCTCTTAGTAAATACGTTCGGGATGCCAAAGTGGTAACGGGCCCTCGTTATAGCAATCCAATCGTTGATCTCCTTCACTTTGCTCTGACTGATCACAATGGCCTCGATCACGAAAATGAGTGCGTAGCAAGTGTGTGCAGTTGACGCCAACATTCTAATCAGCTTCGTTACGTTGTTGGCGTGTCTCAGAAGCGAGACAAAATGCAATACGACTCCTACAGCTAGTAAGGCCCCGACGAGGTATCCGGTCGCTCCTCCCGTCTTTTGACAGTACGCCCTCTTCGGTTTTCGGGAATGAGGGCAATCATACCTCATCAGGGCAAGACCACACTTGGTCTCAATATAAAGCAAAGGCTTCAGTATGCAAATGATGCAGTTG